AATTTAGCACTTTTAAGTATTTACAAAATATTCTTTGGTTTTTTAGGTAGAACTGAAATTTATATTTAAGTTGATATTGTAATGTTATATTTAAATTAACAATTTAAATATTTTATCCAAACTGTTCAAAAGTTGTAGCTTTAAACTGATAATGATATACATAAAACAATATTTTAAATCTAATAAATTAAGTATAATATGTTAAAAGTTAAAGACAACATTATAATTAGAAGTAAATATGTTATTTTAAAATTGAAATTTAATTTATTTATGATTACATTTTAGGTTTGATATTTATTTAATCTTACTATCCAACTTATAAATATTATTAGAAAGACAGTACAATTTATCAGTTTAACTATTTAAAAAATATTTTTTGGACTGTTTAAGTTCAACAAAATTTATATATAAGTTGATCTTGTAATATTATATTTAAATTAATAATTTTAGTATTTTATACAAATTGTTCCAAAATTATATCTTTAAAATGATAATGGTTTACATCCAATAATATATTAAAACTAATAAATTAAGTATAATATGTTAAAAGTTAAACAACATAACTTTATAAGTAGAAGTAAAGATATTCTTTTAATATTGAAATTTAGTTTATATATGATTACACTTTAGGTTTAATATTTATTTAACCTTATTAACCAACATATAATTATTATTAGAAAGAAATTGAAAAGTAATAAGAGTTTCAAATGAATGTTTTGAAAGTAAAAAATGCATGAGAGTTTCAAATGAATTTAATAAAAAGAAAAATGCTTCCTTTATAAGTATATATAAATTTTAGGAGTAATTTATAAATATATATTTGTCGTTTTAAAAAAAATGTTAATAGAAATATGTTCACAAAGTCTCATATGAGACAAAACATTTATTACAACATATTTCAAAAATTAATAATGCATCGATGATTTGATGGTATATTTAGTTTATGGAGTTGAATCATATATAACATTTCCTAATATATAATAATTTGTGTTTTAAAATATTATACCATATAATCTTATAAAACATAATTTATTGTCTATAAATAACTAGTTGTGAAACCTTTATATTACAAGTGTTAATTTAAAAAAAAAGTTAAATATAAAAGTCAAAATATTTAAGAACTTTGAATTTATAAGAAAATAAGAAAAATAATGAATTATTATAATTGTAATGTCTTTATCTTTTAAATTTCAATGAATAATTTAAACAAATAAACATAAGATTCTAATTAGTTTTAATTTGGGAATTTTGAAATTAAAAGGTAAGTTAATTAATGAAACTTATATCTATTTATTACTACATTTGTTGTGTGACCCGTATATTATACGAGTTGATTAAAACAAAATGTTAAATACGAGCGATTAAATGAAAAGTTTATTTGAATTTGAATTTGAAAGCTGAAATAAATAAAAATTATGAGAAAAAACATTAAAAAAAATTAAAGTTATGTGTTTAGTTGTCAGACCAATCTACTAAACATGTTAATTATAAAAAAATTGTTAAATACAAATGTTTAAACTATAAAATTATTTGTAATTGAAATTGAATTTCAGAATTTAAAATTTGAAATTAGTTATCATTATGGTAGGTTTAATTTATAAAAACTAAATTAATGATATATTAGAATAGAAAAATTAAGTAAATTAGAAGTGGAAAATAAATATATCTCATAATTATAACAAAATGATATGTGACAAATTAAATAAGAGAATTACAAGTGACAAAATCATCTTTATTTATTAGGATAGATTTATTGCAATTATTCTATTAAAATATTATGTTAAATTTAATAAGATAGAAAACTCATAAAAAAAGTTAATTCAAAAGAACCGCAAAATAAAATTTAACAAATTGAATGTGAGTATAACATATCACAAAAAAAACCCTTCATTTATTAGAGTAGAAACGTATTCGATACCTCATTTTTTTGGTTTTGCCTAAATATTAATTAACAGCTGTTTTTTTCTTTAATATTAATATTAATATTTGGTTTTGCCTAAATATTAATTAGCAGCTGTTTTTTCTTTAATATTAATATTAATATTATATTAAATTCTTACAAAATATCTTAAGAGTCAGTTTCAACACTTAAAGATAACATTAACTAAAACAATTAGTACTTGATTTTACTTTTAAATTAAACGCGCCAATAAAGCAGACTAATTAAGAATGTCCCCAGTTCTGTTGCATGTCTCTTCTCATATTATTTTGATATTATTATTATTTTATTTTATTAATTTTAATCATTTTTGAACTATTATTCATTTGGGGAAAGTCATCGTCTTAGCTGGCGTTTATTTATAGTTATATTATGAGTAAACTACACGAATGGTCCCTATGGTTTAGGGTAATTTGTGTGTTTGGTCCCTAACTTATTTTTTTAACTCGGAAGGTGCCTATTTTTTGTTTTTGTTACGCGTTTGGTCCCTATCTTACTTAGAAAGAGTATTTTGCCCCCCCCCCCCCCCCCCCCCCCCCCCCCTCCCTCACCTTACCTTACCTACCTTAACATTTTTTTTATTTAAATAATAGTTTTTTAGTTAAGATAAGGACCAAACACGTAACAAAAACAAAACAATAGGAACCAAACGTGTAATAAAAACAAACAACAGCGACTTTCCGAGTTAAAAAAAATAGTTAGGGACGAATCACACAAATTACCCCAAACCATAGAGACCATTTGTGTAATTTACTCTTATATTTAAAAATTTAGATAGTAGTATCTTTGATCCTTATTTTTTCAACTCTCATAGTGTTTCATCTTCATTTTTGTTGTGTATTTCTAATGGAAAACTATAAAAAAAAAATTATATATTTATCTCATAATTGATTTAGTTATTATATATTTTCAAAACCGGTAATCGTATTTAATTAAACACATTTACCCGGTAAACATGTTATCTAAATTGCAATAATTACACTTTTGGACTATATTTTAAATTTTATTATAAACTAGAAAGTTTTCTCCCGCGTTGCGGGGGGCGGAAAGTGTTGCTTTTGTGTCAAAGTAAAGTACATTGCATAAGTTGTTAGCCTACATTTACAAATGTGTAAATGTTATAATAAGAAAAATTTTAAAATACAATCCAATAATTAGATAGAATTTTGACAGAACAATGTGATAATAAGAAAAGATATCAAAATGTTGTAATATGCTATAAACAACAACCTTATCCATCTTCCCATCCAGTTCAACTTTCCACAATGAAATTAAATCACATCATTATCTAAGACTAAGACTGACATCCCATGCAGCTACCAATTTCTCCAACACTAAAAATTCATACGATACTGAATTCTCCACTTGTAAGATTCATCCCATGCAAAAATGTGTAGATCTCGTCTGTTGAATCAAGAGCACATGAGTAACCATAAACGTATCAGAAAACCACCAAGGCAACCATCATCACAAGGGCAAAAAAGTCTACACAGGAGCATCTGCGATCCATCCAAATTAAAACAATTAAGGTCGCCATTGCCATACACCGGGTAATGCATATATTGCGATCAGGAACTGGTGGATCAACACCTTTCTTAATCTTATACAACTACATGATGCAAAGTTGATGAAAGTAGAAAATAATCAAATTTAAGAAAAATATTTTGAATCCATGTAAGTGTAAGTCTGACATTCATACCCTTAAAAACCCCAATTAAGATGGGTTTTGTTGTTCCTTTGTCCAGGCAATAAAAAATAAATGAAATCACTAAAGAGAAAAAATGATAATTTTTCATTTGTATTACTAAAAGTATGAATATTGGAAAGAAATCTTAGTAAACATCCGAAACACTAAAGAAATAAACAAATGTAACATTTTTTTTATGAATTTTTACCAATATCATAAATGTACTTACAAAAATGTTTAAAATCCTCTATAATCAAGTTTGCTTCAAGCTTGGACATGTGACGGTGAATGTACATAGAAATAAGGTATAGGGTATGAACAATTAGCAATAGATTTTGGTGCTATTTTATTTTCTAAGCTTTTCAAATTCAAAAGCTAAAATTTGTCATTTTCTAATAATAATTTACATATTTTGTTTATCTAGATAAGTTTCTTTCCCAAAAAAAGTTATATCAAATTAATCAGGTTAATTTTATAAATATAAAAAGTGTGCAATGGCAATATCATCCTAAGAATGTAAAAATTGTTTTTTTTTTAGTATTGAAACACTATTCAGGGGCAATATAGCTCTAAAACTATAAAAATTGGTTTTTATTAATATAAAAATAGTGTTCATGGGTAATATCGTCCTAAAACTATAAAAATTGAATTTTTTTTTAAATGTAAAAACGGTGTGCAGGGTCAGTATGACCCTAAAACTGTAAGAATTAAATTTTATTAATATAAAAACAGCGGGAGGGGCAATATGGTCCTAAAACTATAAAATCGTTTCTAAACAACTTGATATTTACCATTTTAAAGAAGATTACTATGTGTAAGTTCATAAGTATATATATGTTTCATTGATATTCTTTTGTTTTCTTCCAGTTCATACAAAACCAAGGGTTTATTTTCAGTGTCTCAAATGAAAATGAAATACAGGTAAGATATTTATATTTCCTCGTAATTTCATCTCTTATACATTTTAATATATAGTTAAGAAAAATACATTAAGAACTCACTAAAGTAAGAAATTGAATGGATAAAAACATTTGATATATTTACTAAACCGTTAATATATAAGGTATATGTTTTATATTGAAAAATAATAAATAACTATCATTACGTAGCATAGTGGTTTGGAGAATGGTAGTCAAAACTATACTTTTTTCTCATACTATTATGTTGCCTGTACCACCTACCAACGGTTTTCATAGCTTCCAATAGACTCCAGATTCCACCTATTACTAACAGTAGATTTGAATGGAAAAAGACAACATGTAAAAAAAAAAAAAAAAAAAAAAAAAAGGAAAAGTTAAATCAACTAACTCCCTTTGATGAACTTCATGATTTTGCTCCATAAATTTGACCATAGATGAACAAAAACACCCGATTTCAGCTTTCTTTACTTAAAACACCAATAACCTACTCACTGATAATCAATTCAAAAATACAAAATAAAATAAATCTGAAAAGTGTGTTTGTCGCATATCACAATTAATGTTCACCTGTTTAGTAGCTATGCTTTTTCCCCAAGAAAGGTGGACTATAGTTTGACCAATTTGACTTCCATGCATCCTTTGAATTTCTTCTTCAGCAGATGTCCTATAGGAAATTAGTAATTAACTCTTTACAGTTTTTTCATGTATGATTTTTTTTTTTTGACAAATTTAGGACCTACCTGTTGACAAACTGAACAAACCTGCATCCTTTTGCAGTAGGAATTTTGACATAAACTATTTCACCAAATTGCAAGAAAATCGACCTCAATCCCTCATCTGCAACACCAGGGTCAAGATTGTCGATATAAACCTGCAATAAGAAAGATGAAAGTTATGAAGAAAATGGGCATAAATGTATAATTCAAAATTGCTAGACTTACAGTTGTGTTTGTTAGATCAGTGTCCATTGGGATACCAAACATGCATATTTGTGGTTAAAAAAGTTAGTGAACGAGTGATGGATCACTCGATTTTATATGTCTGCCTGCAAAAAATAGGGGTAATCAATACATTCACAAATCAGAACCAGAAAAAAGTTGGTGTAAACATACGAAAATTAGTAACCAGATCTCATTATTAAGATCCACAATGACTTCCTTTATATTGTATTGCATAAAAAACCATGAAAATAAACATATTCCTAAATAAATTCAATGACTCAAGGATTCTCTCATTCCTGGCAACCTGATGCATTATAAATATGCCAAACAACACACATATTATCATTCTTTCTAGAAACATCACCCTCTTAGGTGCTGTTTGTTTTTTCGAAAAGAAAATTCATGAAGTCTGCAGACCACCTCTGCAATCCTCTGTAGCAGAAGAGGTGGAACAAACGGCTGCAGCCTATAATAAGAAGCATGTTTGTTTTTTAACATCTGCAGACTGTTGCGGTAAACTAAAATTTAAATAAACTAATTTTATAAACTGAAATAATTCTCAACATTGAAATTTAATAATTCTAGTTTTAAAACATTGAAATAATAATAACAATAACATGTAAAAAACAAAAAGTATAAAACTTTTTTTTTTTTTTAAAAAACATAAAAAAATGTAAAAGAAGCTAATAGTTTTATTCTAGAAAAAAAAAACTAATTTAAAAAAAGCATTAAAAAAGAAAATAATAAAAAATTTGAGAAAGTATTGCAAACGTTGTCTACAAAGTTCGTAAAAAATTACACACGTTAAAAAAAATGTAACTGAAATTGAAAATATTATTAATAAAACGGTAAAAAAATTAAAAAAAAAAAAACAAATTAAAAAAATCGTGGAAATTATAAAAATAAATTGTATCACATCCGTAAATAAAAATTTAAGAAAATCAAAGTTTAAAAAAAAAGAAATTAAAAAAAAAAGTTATACAAAAATTCTTAAAAAAACACTTAGAAAAAATGAAAGCTGAAGAGGTTAGAAGAGGCAAGTCAAGTGCTGCGCCACGCAGCACATGCGTAGAGGTTTTGTAGTCTGAAGTCTTCCAAAAAACAAACTGTTGCGAGAGGGAAAGTGTTGCGCGTGTGCTGCGCCGCGCAACAATAAGTGGTTTGAAGAGGTTTTTATAGAAAAACAAACAGCACCTTAGTTTTCATCAATCACTCATGATCAAAATATGGATAAATAAAAAAGAAAAGGCAATCTCCTTCAGGCATTTCATCAAACACTTGGTCTGCATCTCTAATCTATGATACGACAATCAACCTTAACCTATCTTGGATCTTGGATAAACTATATAATGTTAAACAAATGATGCACGCACATGACATGAACTAATAAATTAATCAACCAATGTTATGATTTATATCTCAGGAGAGAAGTATACTAACAGATTTTGAGGCATGATGTCCCTGTGACACACTCTAATATGTAGAGTAGCATACCAATAGATTTTGAGTCTTGATGTGTAGGCCACGGCTCTGAAAATCTGCAGCATAGTCAATGAAAATGGCTTAGTGATCATACAAGATACAACTAAAGTTGAACATGGTCATGCCAATGTCGCGTGGGGGGAAAGAGAGATCTAGTAGTGCACAAACATTTTCATGGCTTGTAATGACCTGAAAACAATGTATACAACTGAATTCAGCATCCACGTTATACACAGAAATCATTTCCAGAAAAAGAAATTCGTCTTTAGTTCAATACCTAGCCAAGAATATGAGCACTTGAATGCGAGTATGGTTCGACGCTTTTCCTTCCATCATCGATCAAACAAATTTTCCAAATTTTGTAACCTAAGGTTCATAATACGTACCTGAAGCAAACAAATTTTGAAATTGTAGTGAAGCCAAAATCCAAAAAAGATAATCCAAAAATCTCAGTTGTACAACTTACAACTCGGTTGCACAACTTGACTATTCCCGATAAAGGCAAGAAAAATCCGAAAGGAAAATAGAAGATACAGGAGGAAAGCAGCAAAGGCTATACCTGATTTGTACCTGATCGTTGCTGCAATGACTTCGACCACGACTTCGCCCAAAGAGTGGTGGTGGAAGCCCTCTTCTTCAAAGAGAAAGCCCCCACTGGCAGCGGACCATGGCCGCGAACAAAGCCCCCAACCCCAATCGCGGCTTCGTGGAGCACGCGTAGAAGTATCGAACCGTGAAGGTGGTGGAGTTTGAGCTGCCACGTCAGCAGTGCATGGTGTACCTTGACCTGAAAAGGGAAGAAAGCAAGAAACCCTAAGTTTCTTTGTTTGAAACCTTGGTAGGTCTGTTAGAATCAGTTGCCTCATCTACATCGTGTCTGTTGGAATCACTTACCTCATTTGTATGGTCCCGTCTGTAGATTGGAGAAGAAAAACAAAAGCAACGATCAACATAAATTTGAAGGTGATGAGTTTAGACGAAGATTGAGAGTTTTCGAAAAGCGGTGAAATCTGAATATGGTTGGATGAGAAAGCGGGTGGGGGAAGATAAGGCAGAACTACCAGAAGTTTGAAGAAAAACACTTACCTCATCTGTATGGTCCCGTCTGTAGATTGGAGAAGAAAAACAAAAGCAACGATCAACATAAATTTGAAGGTGATGAGTTTAGACGAAGATTGAGAGTTTTCGAAAAGCGGTGAAATCCGAATATGGTTGGATAAGAAAGCGGGTGGGGGGAAGATAAGGCAGAACTACCTGAACCAGCAGGGGATACGCGGGAACGACACGTATCGGCCTCATCCTTATCTTTACACCTCTATTAATAATTTAAGGGACCAAATTGCCAATATACCAAACTTTAGTGCCAAAAATTTGAACCACTGAAAATATGAAAACTTTTGGGTTATTTTTGCCAAAAAATCAGGATGTTCATTATTCCTAAAAACTATCCTCCTTTAATATATATATATATATATATATATATATATATATATATATATATATATATATATATATATATATATATATATATATATATATATAAGAATTGGTCTAAAATTTATATTTTTGATCTAGATTTTCAATTTTATTATAAATTTGGTCCAAAATTTAGCCTTTTGGCCTAGATTTAAAAATTTTGTTATTAATTCATCATTACTTTAGTTTTTTTCAAGGTTGTAAAAATCGTTTGACAGTAGCTCGACAGTCGACTCGTGTTAATAAAATATTAAAATTAATTATAATCGGGGATTAATCGGTCTTGGAGGGGATTAATCGAGAACCATAGATTATTAATAAAATATTAAAATTAATTAAATATTAATATATCTTAAGAAAAAAATAAGTACTTCAAAATTAGAAAATAAGAAAAATTATAATTTGAAAATTTGGAAATACGAAAACATGAATATTTTGGTATAATAGTTGAAATTTTGAAAATTTGAAAAATTGGAGTAAAAAAAGAAAGTTGGTTTTTTGAATTTTTTTAAAACTTTTTAAAATTTTTTTGATCTTTTTTTCGACTTTTGTTGACCAATTAATCCCGCCAAACCCGATTAATCCTAAATTTCCGATTAATGCCCTAATCCTCGACTGTTGGAGAACGCCAAACGATTAATTCACGATTAATCGCCGATTAATCCCGATTTCTGCAACCATGGTTTTTTTTACAACTTTTTTACTAAAAAAAATTTTGAATATTTTTTTTCTTTATAAAAGCATATTCATATACAAAAACAAAAACATATTTTCACATAAAGAATCTTATATTTTCTATATAAAACTCTTTTTTAAGAACTTTTTTGAATGTGAAATACCTATTTATAAAATATGTATTTATTAAATACATAAATATATACAAATCCATTATTATAAAAAAATATAGAAACGCATACTTTACAAAACAATCTATACTAATATCTATTTTATTATAAATATATTTTATAAAAATATATTTATACGCACCCAAATAAGTGTTCGTATACATTTCTTTTGTAAAACCATATTTATATATCTTTTATAAGCACTTGTTTTATAATAAACGCATTTGCATTGAAACACATTTCTATATAAAATTTAGATAAAACTACAAATTTGGTCCTTGTGGTTTGTAAAAAAACTTTAGATAGGGTCCAAAAAGGTTTCGACTTGCATGGAATGTCCAAAATCAAAACTTTTCCGTGGTTTTAGTCAAAAAATTAGAAGATTCCCGTGGTTTTGGTCCTTGGAACACCTAAAATGACGGTTTTGCCCTTTTAATTTCTTTTTTGTATTTTTTTGTATTTATTTTAATACTTCTTTTATTTTAAAAAATAAAAGATAACATCCCATCTTCTCTCTCTCTCTCTCACACACACACACACGCACACACAAACATATACAACTTTTCTCCCAAAAAAAATACTCAGATCTTCTTCTCAATCTCATCTTCTTCACAACTACCGTCATTTGTAAATCGTCATCCTCAACCACCCAATCGATATTTCATAATCACCCACACATCAAGCTACCTTCGACTGCATCCTTCACAAGGTCTGAGGTCATAAATAGAAACTCAATCTCCATGATTTCTCCTTAAATAACCCCAATGAAACCATCATCGACCCTCTGTATGAGTTCCTACAACAGTGGAATAAACCCAAATCTTGGAATGACTTATCACCTGCACATTCATGCTTCATTCATGAGTTCCCAATTCTACTAACTTACGTGTAACAGATTAAAGAGATATGTTTTGATTTTTTGTTTCAGATTCTTGTTCATTGCCTCCATCGACGATAGCAGTCAGCAGTGTTGTGTACCGCTAAACCGTTAGCAGCTCCGCCTAGGGCCACCGTATCATCTCCGACTGGCTTCCTTTCCAATAATCATCCCCGGTGCACCTTTCCATCAACCTATCATCGACATCCCCTTTACTTAACCTCCTGATGATCGATCCAAACAAAGATCAATTTTAGGAAATCGATCTAGTTGTCAATTGAGGAGTAGTGATGCGGAAGTGGTGTTAGCCCTTTCTTAATCCCATCATCTTCGCCTTTTCTATTATCATTATCACACATAGAGACACACACACAAACAATGTGTGTGTGAGTTCCCTCCTATTATTCAATCACAGAGTAAACCCAAGATAGGTGCTTATGTTTGTTTTATCAACTATTGCTCTTCCAGTTTCTTGATGACGATGGTGAATGGGTGGGACTCGTCGGAGGTGTCGAAGGTATGTTAGAAGAATGAGGAGACGAAAGAGATAAAGGGGGGGGGGAATGTGAGAGAGAGAGAGAGGGAGAGAGAGAGAGAGAGAGAAAAAAAAAAGAGAGATAAGGGATGGTAACGTGGATGTGGTGGGTGGGATATATAATCCTTTTTATTTTATTATTATTTTAAAAATAAAATAGTGTTAGAGTAAATATATAATATATAAAATGGAAATTAAAAGGGCATAAAAGTCTTTTTAGCTTTTTTATGACCAAATTCATAGAAAATTCCTTATTTTGGACATGCCATGCAATTTGGAAACTTTTTGGACACTATCCAAAGTTTTTTAGAAACCACAAGGACCAAATTTGCAGTTTTGTCTAAAATTTATAAAAATACGTATTTTATAAAAATATATTCAAACACGTTTGACAAAATTGCAAAAATTGTCATTGTGGTTTGTCAATTTCTGTGGATAAGATCCAAAAAAAAAAGTTTATTAGCAAAAAATATCCTTATTTGATGGTTTTATTGCGGTTTTGGTCCCAACATCATTAAGTTTAACAACATGGCTATTAACTTTTGGCAAATGACGGATTTACCTCTGGGATCATTTCTGCAGTTTTATCTTTTTACCAAACTACAAGGACCAATTATGCGATTTTTCTTTTTTCATTTTATTGAATTATAATATATTAATTATTTTGGTTACTTTTTTATTTTTAACTTTTTTCTTGTTGTATTATTTTTTATTGAATTGTTATATATTAATAAATATTATTTTTAATCTATTATATTTATATATTAATAAATATTACTTTTTTATTATAAACTTTTTTAATTATTTTTTTGAATTTCTTCTTTATTGCATTAATTTTTTTATTGGATTATTATATATTAATAAATATTATTTTTAACATATAGTATTTATCTATTAGTAAGTGTTAGTTTTTTAGATTATTAAATTCATTTAATTAATTTTTTTAATTTTTTTATTTCGTTAATTCTTTTGATTGGATTATTATATATTAATAAATATTATTTTCCATATATTACATATATATATATATATATATATATATATATATATATATATATATATATATTTAAATATTACTTTTATTATTATTATTATTTAATTGATTTGTTTTAAAATTTCTTCTTTATTGTATTAGTTCTTTTTTATTGGATTATTATATATTAACAAATATTATTTTTAGCATATAATATTTATCTTTTAGTAAGTGTTACTTTATTGGATTATTAATTTCATTTAATTAATTTTTTTATTTTTTTTATTGCATTAGTTCTTTTTATTGGATTATTAAGTTCAATTTATTATTTATTATTTATAATAAATAATATTTATTTAATTGTTTTTATTTTATTTTAATTTCTTTCTTTATTGTTTTAATTAAAAAATACCGAACACTCCGAGTCAGCTCCTCCATTCGTTGCATTTTACCACCTTGCGTCGTCGTATCATCTCGTTGGAAATAATCGATCATTGACTACAATCGGTCATTCTCGATGAAAACTACACCAGTTGACTACCTACATAATGTAAAATAAACCCCAGACACTACTAGAAAAACAGCCTTTTACGACGCTCATTGCACGTCGTAAAAGGCTCAGACGACGCGCAAATGCGCGTCAAAGAAGGCCCTGTTATAAAGAGAGACGACGCGCATTTACGACGCTCATTTACGACGCGCAATTACGACGCGCGTTTACGACCGCAATGCGTATCAAGGAAGGCCCTGTCATAAAGGAAGACAACACGCATTCGTGTTTCGTAACCTTACGACCCGCGTGTTAATGACACGCAATGCGTATCAAGAAAGCCCCTGTCGAGAAAGGCCATGTCATAAATGAAGATGACACACATTTTTGCGTATCGTATATTTAAATGTTTAAAAAAAATTATATATTTATTAATTTTTATATTAAATTTGCATTTAATTTCTCATAATAGAAATAAAATACTTTTTTGATAGATTTACTAATTTTTCAAATTAAATAACACATTAAAAGTCTCATAATACAAAATAAAATACCATAAACAATAAAGATAATTCATTGCACTAAGGACCATGTTAACAAAAGAATATAACATTATATACCATAAGTACCCTCAAGTAATCAATCTCTTACAATGTTACTAAAAATACCCTCAAGTAATCAATGTCTTACAAAGTTAAGAGACTTAGATACTCAGTTGGTATGTAATATGGCACTAAGAAGCCCAAAAATTGTTTGTGTTTTTCCTGTTCCTGGATCCTACATGGACAAAAGGTAAAGAAGTTGTTGCATCAAACCAATCAAGAAACAAAATATAGACCTTTTAGTTTATGTTTCTTGTTTACTTAACAAAAACAAGACTTAATCAAGAAAAAAAATATAGACCTGTCCCTAACCTTCTGTGCTGTGGAAAAAGCTAATCCAACCAAACCTCTTATTCTACCAACTTCTTTCTCAACTGCAGCCTTCAACTTAGCATCAACCTGAAACCAAACTCATTTTATACATTAACCAATTATAAAACACTTCATATTAATATCTGAAAATTTTAACTAATGACAAAAATAAGAGGTTATTGGAATCGGAATAGGTGATTCCATCTTTGTACTACTTTTGGAATTCACTTCATTTTGCTTTAAGATTCCTGATGTCTGAAACAAATCATAACCACACAATGCAAAAATATAAAAGTCAAAAGTCAAAAAAAGACGAACTTCACATAAAAAAATACCCATAGACTATCATTGCAAAAAAGACGAGCTTCACATAAAAAAATACCCATAGACTACCTTGATTTAAGAGGAAACAGAAATAAGTGGTTAATAATGTGTGGCCCAACAGAAGCTTCACGGTTTCTATCAGCAAAAAAGTACAGAAAACATGAGAATTTAATCATTTATATATTGAAATTTGTTAAATATGAGGAATGATATAACTTACAGGCAAACGATCACAAACAAGGTGACCATCATTTGGTTTGAGGTGATAATAAGAGCATCCAAAAGCAACAGCAGCCACACCAATGTAAAAGCATGTCCAACCACAAAGCTCACCTTGTAGACTTAGGCATTTTATACCAGGCAGAATCAGGGGCAGTATAAACCTGAGAAGTGGATGCTACTTTGTTTAATTGTAGTTATCACTATTATATAGGTCATCCATAAAAGTTAAAAGGTACACCATTTGAAAGAGAAAACAAGAAAAAGATAAAAAGTGTTATCTGTTAAGGATGAAAAGTGGAAAGAGTAGCTCTTTAAAAAGATTGACTAAATCAGAAAATATATTTCCGTTGACTCGTTAACACAAACCCCTCGCTTTATCAATCTTTTATAAGTATATCATAAATCTAAAAAGTTATCTACGTTGAAACCCAACAAACCAAGTTTCAACAAACATAGCAATGGATATGGAACACCCATGTTAAAATATATACAAGATGAAGGGCATAATCATCAATCTACCATCGACATATCCCAGGTGCTTCTGTCCTCAACATTGATATCGCCTCTTCATACTCTGAAGCATATACAAACCCCCACAGCTGCACACATTGACATTCATATCAACTCAACTTATGCAAACTATTTATATTAAATTACACTTTTGGTCCCTGAGAATCTCTAATTTTTCTGATTTTGGTCCCAAAAAGTTTTCTCTTGCAACTTTAGTCCTTATTTGACTATTTTTGGTCCCGAACCATTTTTTCAATTTTGGTCCCCAAAAATTCTCTTACAATTTTGGTCCTTTGAAATTTCTTGTAGAGTTTCATTCCTTGTTCTAAGTAAGATGACCATTTTTGGTCCCTGAGTATTGCTGATCTTTTCAATTTTAGTCCCAACTCATTTTACTTGGAACGAAGAGTAAAAACGTTACAAAAACCTCAAATAAGGATCAAATTTGCAAGAGAATTTTGTAGGACCCAAATTGAACAAAATCAGCCATACTCGAGGACCAAAAATGTAATTTTTGCAAAAATAAGTGAGAGAAAGCACCTCAATTTCCTTCACTTCAAATTCTTGGGTGTGTGACAAACAAGAGTTACCATAAGTTTCTGAGGCCAAACTTGACCCATTCAATCTGGGGAAAAAAATATGCAAATTGCCAAATTACCATATTATCCCTCAAAAAGAAAAATAGGAATGGTGCAAGTGCAACACTCTTACAAGTCACTATCGAGATACAATGCAAAATGATTTCCCCCACCAAGCGCTAAATACTCAGTTGAACAAAGAGTAAAATACCGATTCACCCCTAATAAATGCACAATTAACATAATAAATCCCAAATAAATATTAAAATTATAAAAGATTTTTTTATATATTATCAAGAAAATGCAGTACCTGTGGGGCGATATATAACAGGAAGCCCTGGTGTATTTGTAAACACAAATGTATCATTCGATCCCTGTATAGTATTTACTCATCATAGTGAAAAAGGGTAGAAAAGTCTTTTGTCAACATATAGAGAAACGAACTTAATTAAACAATTACAAACCTGGTATCTTTTCTTTGTTGATGGTTTCAAAGGTGCCTCAACTAAACCACCAAACACTGCACCTTTACGATCTCCAACGACCTGAAAATGTTTAATCAAGTTTCAGTTAAAGGGTAAAGTTGACATTTTGCATAGTTACTGAAGACAAGACATTACCAGTAGACTTAACCCAGGGCAAAGATTGCTTCTTCTATATAAGGTTGAAAGAGATATGACATGCCTCCATGTACTAACATATAAAAAAGATAATGATATATCAAGATTCAAGAATAATGTGAAACTGAAAATATGAAGAAGATGAAGTTTTACCTGTATAGTAAGACCCATTTCTTTCCTTGACTGAGAACAGGGAGTGCAACATAAAGATCAGAACGTGTATTTCTGTCATAAGTTGTGAAGGTTCTGACATTTTTGGAAGTTTATTAGAAGGAAAAGATGCAATCACATTTTGTACAGGAACCCCATCATTAGTGTCAAATTGAGAGCTTGTTTCTTTCATGTCATCGATCTTTAATTCAGTGTTTACTTTCCCAGATGCATGAGATCGATACCCACTAAACCTAGCAGCTTGTGAAAGAGCCTTGCTGAGTGACTGTTTTCCCTTAGAGAATAGACCTTTCTTTCCATTGTTTTCTTTTGAAACGTTTGGGGATGATGTGTCATTTCTGTAGCTAGTTACCACTTAGTTGTCGTTCCATTCTGAATATTCAAACTCATTTTCTGATCTTCCTGGTGATAAGAATGAGTAGAGAAATGCGGTGAAGGAGGAAGTATCTGGCCCATCAACCAAGATCAATCTCTCTGTAGCCCTATGTAAAACCCTCCATGGTATCAAGCTCAATCTTTGTAGCCCTACGATCTGCCATGTCCAAATCTCTCTCGTCCTCCAGAGAATCGTCCAACCCAACCGACCTTCATAGCCATTTCTATTGATTTCCAACTCGATATCATAAATTATGTTTCGACATGAGAGTGTGGGGAGGTTTCAAGAAGAATAGAGCAGAAGCAACAACGCAAATGATAACATTAGGTATCGAGGGCTAATCGAGTTTGATTAAAAAGGTTATAAAACTCGTAATAAAGGAAGAAAAACCTCTGGAACAAATAAAGAAGTAGAATGTTGATGGTGATTGACCATGGAGTTTCAAGACCTTGACTTTAATGGAGCTACTGTTCTACTTGATATGGAAATCACTCTAAATTTGTAGTTGTGATACAACTCTTCTATTGATTGAGAGGCTGAGAAAGTACTTGAGGAACTGAAGATCGAGGGAAGTAGATGAAGGGTTTTTGAACTGAAACCCTAGTTCCAACAATAGTCATGGTTCCAAAAACTGTACCCCTTTGATCAATTTCATGGCCTGGTGACCAAAAAACCTTCGATTTCACTAAGAACCGGAACCCTAGTTCCAACAATAGTCGATTTTTGGTATTTGATTGAGAGAGAGAAAGAGAGAGAGAGAGAGAGAGAGAGAGAGAGAAGAACGATTGAAAGAAGGTAGAGGAGAGCATGGCGGGGTTTTTAATTTTTTCAGAATTTCATTTCCCCATTTCCCCCACTATTAAAGGATGGAACGCGCGTTCCATTAAAAAATATAAAGCGACATCCTTAGACGATGCGCATTTTATTATAGGTGCCCTCCGTGTTTTTTTAGACACTAATTTAAGGGCGCAGAATAATGCGTGTCTTCTATCCTTAAATTTTTTGAAGAGATGACATTTTTCTAATGTCACTCTCCTTTGCGTAACATAGATCAATGAGCGTCGTATTTTGTGCGTCGTAAAAGGCCTTTTTTCTAGTAGTGAGAAAACATACTTCCTCCATCCGAACGTTCATTACGGATACCACCATCGATGACAACAATGTTAGGTCGAGGGTTTTCAAACCACCATAGCCACTATAGGTGGTGACAAAGTTGTAAAACTCGTTATTTGGTACTTGTTGGACCGACCGCCGAGTAGCAAATACTCAGATTTGGTAATTCATGTAGAAATATTTTTAGGGAAATTATATATGTTAAAATCATAAGTTTATTGAAATAAATAACAAATTTAGATATATGTGAATACACAAAAACTAAAATACACACGATGATCTCACTTAGTGAATAATTACTGAACTTATATATTTATATATATATATATATATATATATATATATATATATATATATATATATATATATATATAGTAACAGAGTTGGAGACGACTCAATAGTGGTTTGTTGTGACTGAGTGATGGTGGTTGTGTTGTCCAAAATATGTTATCTTCCAAATATTTAAGATAAATTAGAGAATGTGGGGTGGGTATGACTTTTTTGGTATTTTTATCTGAGACAATAAAGAAAGAAATTAAAAAAAAACAATTAAAAAAATATTATTTATTATAATTAAAAATAACAAATTTAAATTAATAATACAATAAAAAGAACTAATGCAATAAAAAAATTAATTAAATAAAATTAATAATCCAATAAAGTAACACTTACTAACAGATAAATATTATATGCTAAAAATAATATTTGTTTAATATATAATAATACAATAAAAAAGAATTAATTCAAAAAAAAATCAATTAAAAAAATTAATAATAAAAATGTAATATTTATTAATATATAAATATAATATATTAAAAATAATATTTATTAATATATAATAATACAATAAAAACAAATAACAAAATTAAAAAAATTTAAAAAATTAATTAAATGAATTTAATAATCTAATAAAATAACACTTACTAATAAATAAATATAATATTATATGTTAAAAATAATATTTATTAATATATAATAATCCAACAAAAAAAGAATTAATGCAATAAAAAAGAAATTCAAAAAAAAATTATTAAAAAAAATTAATAATAAAAAAGTAATATTTATTAACATATAAATATAATATATTAAAAATAATATTTATTATTATATATACAAAACTTCAAAAATGGTCCCTATAGTTTTCAAAAATATCAAGTTTAATCCCTAAGTTCAAAAAACCTCACAGATGGTCCCTGTGGTTTCAAAACTTTTAACATTTGGTCCTTCCGGCTAACTTCGTTACCATTTAGTCGTTAAGTAAGGGGTATTTTTGTCATTTCACTACCCAGGGACCATTTATGAGGTTTTGTATTACTTTTTTTAAAATAAATAAATAAATAAATAAAATTTAATATGCAAGGGTCCAACCTCTCTTTCTCTCTCTCTCTATCTCTCTCTCTCTCTTTCTTTCTCTTTCTCTTTCTCTCTCTCCTGTAAGTTGTATAAAATTCTTTCTCGTCACTGGCTCCCTGTAAGTTGTATAGATTCCATGTCTCATTCATCATTTGATTCAATATCTTCATGAATCAAATTGAATATGAAATTGTTTTGAATTGCCTTTGTATACCTTCGACTCTGCAGGGCATGGGTAAAACCACTCTGATCGCTAGGGTTTTGGAGAATCTCAGAACTTCCTATCCTAATTTGAAAATACAAGGGTTTTTCACTCGTAATGTTCTATCATTCCACACCCTTCCATCGCTCAAATATGTTTTTATTTTCGCCTTCGTTTACTCATGAAATTTGAGATACAAAATAGGTGAGATCAGACAAGAAGGCGAAAGGGTAGGGTTTTAAGTGGTTATGTTAGATGGTCGCGCTGCTCTACTTGCTCCTATTAACAATTCCAGGTAACCATTTCTTCATATCTTTTTATCATTCAACGTTGAATTAGGTTTTAATTAAGTTTTTCATGGCAATGTAGCGTCCATTAGATGGCCTACTGTGGGAAGATACAGAGTCGATGTAGCATCATTCGAATCATTAGCTTTGCCCGAGTTACAGGTTCGTTTAGCTTCATCTCCAATTTCTCAGTAAGAAGTTGATTTTCGATTTTATTTTCAGGTCAAAGAAGATACATACCTGTTTGTGATTGATGAAGTTGGAAAGATGGAGCTCCTCAGTTTGTTGTTCTTCCCTGCAGTGTTACATGTTCTTGAGTCAAAGAAGATAAATCTTCGGTGGTTGTTTCTTCCACCGATGAATTGGAGAGAGAGAGAGAGAGAGAGAGAGAGAGAGAGAGAAAGAGAGAGAGAGAGAGAGGTGGGACCCTTGTATATTAAATTTTATTTATTTATTTTTAAAAAAGTAATAAAAAACATCATAAATGGTCCCTGGGTAGTTAAATGACAAAAATACCACTTACTTAACGGCTAAATGGTAACGGAGTTAGCCGAAAGTACCAAATGTTAAAAGTTTTGAAACCACATGGACCATCTGTGAGGTTTTTTGAACTTAGGGATTAAACTTGATACTTTTAAAAACCACAGGGATCATTTTTGAAGTTTTGTCTAATATATAATAAATCAATAAAAAAAATAATACAATAAGTAAAAAGTTAAAATGAAAAAAGTAATTCAATTATTTAATATTTCAATAAAATGAAAAAGAATAATTGTATAATTGGTCCTTGTAGTTTGGTAAAAAGATAAAAGTGTAGAAATAGTCCCACGGGTAAATCCATCATTTGCCAAAACTTAACAGCTATGATGTTAAACTTAATGAATTAATGACCAAAACCACAAAAAAAAAAACCATTAACTAGGGACTTTTTTTGCTAATAAGTTTTTTTTGGACCTTACCTACATAAATTGACAAACCACAGCGACCATTTTTGCAATTTTGTCAACACGTTTCTATATAAAGTTTATAAAAGTACGTATTTTATAAAAATATATTCAAATCGTTTTATAAACAAATGTATACAAACATGTTTTTATAAAAAAAAATATACAAACATGTTTTTGATAAAAAAAACATCATTTGAGAATTAAATTATCGCCAATTAAATTATCCTTCTAAATGCATACTCTAAATAATAGTTATATAAGAAATAATACCATAAAATAATAACTCATATTCAAAATTCAAAAGGAATTTTGATCGCAGATAAAAAATGTGCGTTTTCAAATTAAAAAACAAAATTTATTGCTATAATTATATTTTTGTTTTAAACCCAAAATAATCTATCAAAATAGGTTAATTTCAAAGTTATAAGTTACCATATTCTAAAGCAAATTAGATTTCATTGTCTAACGTGCGAGTCGCCAGGTATGAAATTAAGCCATTATTTAGTTAAACGTCATGAAGGGTCCATGAGTATGTTGGGCGTACACTAGGTATGCACGACGTAAACTAGGTACGCACGACATACACCTTGCATGCGCGCATCGGGGTGAACCCTACATACACTTGGCGTACCCATGCGTACGCTGAACATACACAGGGGGAAACCATATATATATATATATATATATATATATATATATATATATATATATATATATATATATATATATATATATATAAACGGATTTGTATATATTTATGTATTTAATAAATACATATTTTTATAAATAGGTATTTCGTACACAAAAAAGTTTTTATATAGAAAAAAAAAAATTATGTGAAAATATGTTCATTTTTTGTGTAAATATGATTTTTTAAAGAAAAGACATATTTGATTTTTTTTAGAAAAAATGTTGTAAAAAAACTATAGTTAGGATGAATTCATAACAAAATTATGAAATCTAGGCCAAAAGTGTAAATTTTGGACAAATTTCGTAATAAAAATTAAAATTTGGGCCAATAGTGTAAATTTTGGACCAAATTCGTAATAAAATTTAAA